CAAACATATAATCGGTGCAATTTGGGGGGGAATAAAAATGAGAATGGAAATTGGGAATATGTCAAAGAGACAACAACCCGACCAAAGAGCAGACAACAGCCGAAGGCCACCAATGGGTCTTCAACGCAGCGAGAAAATCCCGCACCCGGAGGTGGTCCTCAGCTGGCCCCTAAACAAAACTGTGCACTAGTTCAGTGAAAATGGACGTCACACTAAAATCCAAAAAATATAAATGAACTAAAATTAAAAAAAACATACAAGACTAACAAAGGCCAGAGGCTCCTGACTTGGGACAGACGCAAAAATGCGGCGGGGTTAAACATGTTTTGTGAGATCTCAACCCTCTCCCTATACCTCTAGCCAATGTAGAATAAAGAAACACATAGCAATACGCACAGTAAAAATTCAGTTTAAAAGAAGTCCGAGTCCGATGTCAGAATAGGTAACAAAAGAAACTAAGCAAAATGACAATGATACATAAATGAACAAAGGACTACTAGCATTAACTGACATGCCAGCTCCAGACCTCAATTAAACTGATTGAAAGATTATGTCTTCATCATATGAAAATCAAGTACAATCCCTCCCGTTAGGGGTTTAGTATCATACCATCATAAAATATATAAGAACATAACTCGTATCATGCCAACAACTGGTTTTAGAATAAATGTGTTTATTTCCGATGCAAAGACCCTATGAGTGAATCGATATTAATATCAAAATATGCAATCCTTAATGACTTGACAACAGTATAGCAACTATATCCTTTCCGAATATCTCTGTTTAAAGGTTTGGTTAGCTTTTGAGGTGAATGCCGACATTTTTGTGCTTTGTAAAGAATATAACCATTAAATATTGGATGTGAAATACCTGAACGTATAAGATGTCTGCATGTTGATTTATATTTACGAATGATGTCCTTGTACCGCTGATAAAATTTAGTAAATGTTTTGACTAGTTTGTGATATCGAAAACCCTGGTGTAATAATTTTGAAGTTTACCGTTTTCCGATGGCGATTATTTTGTGGTGTATAGAAAACATAAATCACTGAACTTCCCCCCAAATTTTACCGATTATAATTGATTTTACTTCTTTGAGTTGCTCCTATCTGACCGAGTACCAGGAATTTCTACCACAGAGATGGTAATCTGTCGAAAAAAATTAACTCCGGAGTCAAAAGTCGGTAATATTAAAAAAAGTCTATTTTGATAATCTATTTCCAATCTCTGTGAGTAACTTGCTAAATGATATCAGTATTCAATTCAGTATAAAACTTTCGTATGTATGATACAAATGTTTTGATTGTTTTAACTATCGATTTCTTTCTGATTTCAGATCAAGCCAAAACCAGATGGAATCTTACGATAATTACCATACCTTATGATTATGATTAGTGTATTTGGTGTTTGTTTTGACGAATAAACCATTTGAAAACGTATCATAAGCACTGATTTTACCGTTTTATCTCTAAAATTATATTACCCAGTACTACATTGCATTGGTTTTTGATTGTAGGCATATATATGCTTGGATAAAGTATAAAAAAGAATGATAAATTTAAAGGTTACTAATTCCTAGCCAAGTAGTCAGCACGTTTGTGTTGACATATGAAAACCGTCAATATGTTCATTTTCTGTGAATTTACTGTCGATAAAATATTGCTTTCGAAACACTTTAAGAGTTTATACCCCCAAGCACAGATTTTCTTTTCGGAATTTTTTATTCTCTTTAACTTGATTTATCCTTCCAACTGTTTTGATCTGAATGCCACTGATGAGTCTTATGTAGTATGCAGTACCAAATTATGATCCTGATTACTTTGATGAGATTTTACCGTATATGGTTTCCAACCCCGTTTCCGAAATTGTCTTTTCATTTCATTTCCAATTTTGAAGCTGATTGACAAATTGTTTTGTTGAGGCAGAAAACACTTAAAAAGTGTTATTGAGTTTCATTTGGGTTGATTTTTATTCTTCCAAATGTCATAGAGCTAAGGTTTGATATTTATATAGATTGACCCTTGATCTATTTGTTTCGGTTTTTCTGCTGCAATCCAAGATATATGTAATGATAGAAGGATACAATAACCGTACAATGTTGATGACGTTTAGTGATATATGAAAGTGTTATGTACTTTCGAGAGTTTTAAAGAATTTGTATTGGCTGTTTATAGATATAAGAAGATGTGGTATGAGTGCCAATGAGACTACTCTCCATCCAAGTCAAAATTTATAATGTTTATGTTTAGTTTTGTTGTTAGTCCGTAAATTTACTTCATTGCTTATATGCAGATTCAACTGGTTGACTTGTTTCACATTCTATCTTTCATTAAACTCGAATATGAAGCGCAAAAGATATACGGTTGGTGCTTATTCATAATTGACTTCCTCTTTTTCTTATTTTTTGTATTACTCATTGTTTGAATACTGTGACCGTATCGATCATTCAAAAACTTGCCGATAACATTAACGGTACAAGTTCTACTGCACCAGTTGTACATTTCGATGATCAGTGTCACATTAGTGATGCACGATGCAAAAATATTTGAAAACCCAAAATCTGGTACACATTGAAGAGCTGATTAAACCAAAATAGTACCTGAATGTTTTAGCACTATGAATTTGTGTACTTTTGGTCACCATGGTAATCATAAGTTTCGGCGAATGTAAAACAGTTGAAAAGGACAAAGACATGTTGTATATGGAATCATATGAAATCAACTATTAATCAGAAAACTCAAGGCAAATGAAGACTAGTTCCCTTTTTCATATCAATCAATAAGTTCCTGTAGCTGACAATGAATCGTATTCCGTTGTAAGGTACGACCGAAATACCTGCACGACGATGTAACATTATAATATTAGAACTATTAGAAAATGAAACAATGCAACGTTTTTGGCCACCAAAAAGACACATACCAAAGGTCTTTTCGTCAAAATTCTAATGAAAAATCAGTATAAAATTTCTAATGTGTAGTATGCCGTTAATATTGAATAGAATTAAACCATATATATCTGAAAGTTAAAATATCCCTTTAAAGTTGAAATGTAGTTTGTTGAAACGTTTTGAAATTTAAACGATGGTAAATCTGAAAATTCATGATTTATAAATGCAACTAGTCTATGTTGAACTTGACGGAGTAATTCCGGGTAAGAATTACTAACCCCAGTGTCGTTATTATCTTCAGTGTTTGATGAACTTTGACAGGTAAAGTCTATATAACAGGTTGAAGATTTGATTTGATTTTTTGGTGTTTTAACGACAACTTTTAAGCACCGCTTTTGGGCTATTTCGTGGCGGCCAGTTTTTATTGGTGGAGGAAGCCGGAGTGTCCGGACAAAACCACCGACCTTCGATAGGAAAACTGACAATCCTAGTCAATTGAGATTAGAGTCGAGCGCACCAGCACGAGCGGGGTTCGAACAGGTGGTTGAAGACAAACGAAACAATTAAAATGTCGTGGGAATTAATCCAGTGAATACAAAACACAAATAAGGACAGAAGCAATGATAAAGGTGTGGAGAAAGAAAAAAAGAAAATCATATAAAGTAATTGTTGGCAATATACTACTCCTGACATATCCGATAGTGATCAAATGTACTCTGGAAGGATTGGCTTTATCATGTTTCTTATGAAATTACTGTTGTATTGTCTAATATTTGAAACTGGTAATGGACACACCCCAGTAAGTGTCAAAATCAGTTATATAATTTTAAATCAGTAATAGAATGTAACTTTTGTTTGCGATTTATTGTGAAAGAATAAACTTTGTGATTATTACCGTATAAGAAAAAAGTAAAATAACAAAAATACCGATCTCCAAGGAAAATTCAAAACGGAAAGTCCTTTATCAAATGGCGAAATCAAAAGCTCAAACACAAACACATTAAAACGAATGGAAAACAACTGTCATATTCATGACTTTGTACAGGCAGTTCCTTATGTAGAAAATGATGGACCTGGTTTTATAGCTAGCTAAACCTCTCACTTGTATGACAGTCGCATAAAATTTCATTATATTGACAACAATGTGTGAACAAAACAAACAGACATAATAGGTTAAAATGTAAAAAAAGGGGGTACAGCAGTCAACATTGTGTTATAATCTTAATCACTATAAAAACAAATAAATATGTCAAAAAAGAAAAACAAAATGGCATATAGACAAAGCACACAAGCAAAAACGAAAGACAAGAATACAAAAAACTGACCATAGCACAATAACACAATGACGGGATGTATAAGTACCGAGCAACGCCAAAGGGATATTACCAAAAATGGACTAAACAGTTAAGGTAACAATTTACAAAGACAAATATAAGAACACTATAACACACAATCAAGACGATAACCTATGTCAGTACCTAGTTTCTATACTTCAAGACCATCATGTATTATTTGTGAAGTTGATACAGAATATTTATCAATAAGCTTAAGGTTTTGGTGTCTTCTGATGAACTTTTTTAGAAAAAGGACGAGACGATCTTTGTCATAACTCTAGTTTATCAACTTTCTGCTCAGACACTGGTGACGTTTTAGTAGCAGCTGCAAGCTCTTGAATACCTAATGAGTTGGAAAATGTAAGTTTTTAGTGCTGATAATTATGAGTTACGGAAAAATATAATCCTGCCTTAGTAGTTCGTGTAAATGCTTTCGAAGGAAATTCTATTATGTGAATACGAGCACCACTTGAAAAGTGAATCAGCTCAGATATGGTATTTATGCACTATTTACAGGTGATGCCGATAAATTGATACTGATTGGTGGATAAAATCCTCACAATATTTGTGTTTAAAAGTCCATTTAGCCAATTAAAAGTGCTAAGCAGTTTCATTGCTGCACTAGTGTTCTTAATTTATTGACAATTGAAACCGATATTTAAAAAAGATCGAATCTAAGTAGTATACACGAGTGACTAGATACAATTTTCGTAGCTCTATACTAGAAATATAAAATGTAACAAATAATTAATGGAAAACAACTTTAATTAAAGGTTACACTCTTATCTTCTTAACTGCCTTTTCCGATGCTTGGATTACCAAAAGGATTCGGTATTGTGTCACCTTAAAGAAATAAACATTACTTATATGAATGATAAAAAAGAAAGGCTGAAATATTTTCAACTCAATAATATTAATTATCATATAACACTTTCGACATTGGTTTGAGGAATAATCAACCCCAATTTACCGAAATTAACTTATACTCGCGACCCAAGGTCCAGTGGAAGAAATACTTTATTCTTTCTTCTAAAACAAATTACGATCCAGTCCCTTCCTCTCCACCTTTGGCGGATTCAGATAGAATATCGGATCCACGAGGTAATGATTTCCATTGGTCGCAGTTGTAACTGGCTGCATCCAATCAAAAAGCGCCTTTAAGATGATCACGTGTAAATGTAGAAAATGTCAATAACCAATTGCCATGTGCTGATTGTGCAATATTTCTTTACCCAATTTTTAAAGTTCTTAATCAACTAATAGAAGTTCTTAGGTATGTTGCTTGCGCAAATGTTGGAATGTCAACGTGTATTTTCGGTTCCAGCTGCTTTACGAAGTTTATAAATACTAGACGCAACCATTTTTACACCTCCACAGTGAAGAGAGTTCAAGTGCTGCCATTGGTCAAGGGTGATGTAGTAGGAATGGGCGTGACTTTTATCTACCGGTAGATGGCGCAACATTGTTATCACAAATATTGGCTTAATCTGCCAAGGGTGGAGAGGAAGAGACTGGATCGTAACCCTTGGCTAGCGATGATGTCGTTAATTATTCACAGAAAAAAAAACAAATCCCAGAATACCATATCAAAGGATAGACGAAATCGTTCGAGTGAAAAGTTTCAATTAACGAATTGAAAATGCTAAATTGTATATAGCAGTGCGAAAACATTCATGACTCTGAATAACTCTTTGATTGACAGTTTATTCCTCTACGTTGTTTGTACTTATAAAAGCTTTCATTTTCATAATAAACACTATGCCTAACTACATGTGTCTGAACAGGGATTACATATGCTCACCTCTTTTATCCCTGGCTAAGACTAGCATGAAACGAAAAAAAGGATTTAATTGATATAAAAGTAAAACAAAATGGTCGACTTGCGATAAAATGTATACAATATCAAATATATGATAACAAAACAATTTATTTGCAATTAAGTGAAATAAACTAGGAATTAATATATATAGATTGAAAAATTCACTGAAATGCTCTATCAGATATTGTCGAACAGTGAAGTTATATTTACTGTAGGAAACGATAGGGAAATATTGCCCCGGATTACAGTAGTTCACAATTGCTTGAAAATGGCTACGTTAACGATCGGTATATGCAAAATATTGTGATTTGTATACAAAAAGGATGCAGCTTCTAATTAGACCTTAAACATAAAAAGAAGAAAAATTGACGAAACCATGCATAAATATAAAAGACGAGCAGACAAACTGAAGTCCATAAAACAATATATTGAAAATAAAAAGTGAACAAACCTTATTTAGATACTCATGGAATGTTGCTACATTTAAAAGGGAAGTTCAAATAGGAATATTGAAACCATCTGTTTTTATTATCAAAACGTAAGACATATTTCACGGTATTGGATCTGTCATTTTACCGAGTTCGTGGGAGATCGGGTGCGTCGATAGGATAAGCGTCTTTAGGTGTGAATGAATCACCCGCCATACAAATGCAGACTCAGTCAAAGTATCACAATTTGAGAAAAAGTATTAGCAAAGTACCAAACTCCATGGAGTTGTCAGAAAAGAAAATGACCGGTAAAATATACAGTTTAACTGAACTTTTCCTCTGGAAATTCAATAACTAGTAACAGGAATACTCGGACTAACGCTGTAATGCTATTACATTGTTATAACAGCAGATGTGGAATAAAATTTATTTAAAGTAAAAAAAATAGATTTCAGATTGAACGACAGTTAGTTGAGACATAGACATAATTATATCGTATTGATAAACCAATTCGTGAAGGTGACAGTAAAACTTATGTTGATTTCAGTCGTTCCCCCTCATAACTTTGTAAGGCGCAGAACTCTACTTCGTACTTTATTTGACCTTTTAAACATTTGTGATTCGGGCGTCACCGATGAGTGTTTTGTAGACGAAACACGCGTCTGGCATACAGAATACTAATGAATTCCGTATAGTGTGAACAAGCATGATTGTAACGCATAAATTGAGATATTTAAACGCCATACGAAGGAGCAGATGAAGTGTTTCTGCTGAGAAACTCACCACGTATGTCATGTATTGTAATTTGAGGTCGTCCAATATATGGGGCATACTTTCTTGTTTGAATAATGTTCCATTACTTTCATTGTAAGCAACTATTAAGAATATCAAGTGAGCAACCTATCTTGAATTTTTAATTGAATTTACCTTTGTGCTTGAGGGATCGTCTCTGTCTGTCAGGAAAATCTGAGTAATAGAAATAATATAGATATCTATCATTTCATTTTCAACTGTATTCAGAAAATATTGTTGATATTGAGTTTTGCTGCATATTGCTTTACTTAAATTTATAACAGCATTTTAAAAGAGGAGGTTTAAACAGAGATTATCCCGAATTGCGAAAATAGTAAACTTAGCATTTGTTTTTTAACAATATGTCAATTTTATTGCTAAACGAAGAAGAACGTATAAATTGGAGACTTTAATTGGTTGAAGTGTCCAGTTTATATCAATTATAAACTCACTTTCACATCCCAAATATTCTGCATTCGAAATATTTGACAAGACTTGCCATTTTACATATAATTTGTGTGAAAAAAATATGAACAGAACCAAGATATTCTACCCATCCTTATATAAGCTTCTGTAGCAAAATATAATTTTAGGTAAGGTTTTTGGCTTATATATAAATCTAATATTCAAAATAAGGTTATTTGGACTGTTGCTTTGAATTTTTAAACCTTTGAAAAAAGACTGATAGACAAAATCGAAGAAAATAGATACTGATATCTGAAAGAATGGTAATACTTTCTCATGTTTAAGATACAAATATAAAATGGTTTGTGGAAAATGAAATAATACTGAAACGTTAAAACTGTAAGATCTAGTTGTGCTTCTTTTATATACCAATAACATATATTTGTACCTGCATGTAATCTGTCGCCAACTGTATTCCCGTTAGTGTCTAAAAGGAAAATGAACATGAAAACAGGTTTATTGATACACTGATTAAATAAGAGTTGAAACATTCTGAAAATCTTCATTTTAATATGATTTTTAATACGTAATCATTTGGTTTAGATCAATAATCAGGAATAAAACGTCGTTCAAAATGAAGATTTAGTTGGTTTTTCTTTTCAAAATTAAACGCAGTCCGTGGTTTTTGGTGGTGTTCGTGTTGCTCAGTTTTTAGTTTTCTATGTTGTGTTTTGTGTAGTATTGTTTGTCTGTTGGTCTTTTTTTTTAGCCATGGCGTTGTCAGTTTATTTTCAACTTATGAGTTTGAATGTCCCCTTGGTATCTTTTGCCTCTCTTTATTCCGTTGTTAATCGATTATATGTTTTCCCTTAATTTGCCCATACTTTCCATAACAAAATCGTTAACATTGGCAATGCGTTTTAAAACTATACACCCTTAGTGGACAACTCTGCTCATTAAAATTTTGAAATATATGGATCTATATCAACACTAACTAATGACAATCGCTCCAAGTAAGTAGTCGGGGGGAAATAAACTTTAAAGTTATAAGCCTTTAACGTTACCAGTTTTAATAATATATTGAATTTTACTAGCTTCATGCATTCATTGTATCAATTGATAGACCATGGCATTTTTGAAATTTGAAGATAATGAAAATGATATAATTTCAAAATCATATTCATTTGGTTCAGCTTTTTGAAAACAATACACGAATATACAAATAAAATGTTGCTATGAAAAATTTGACAAGCATAACATGTTAAATGAAATCAGAAATATTCTTTTGTCAATGTAAGTTCAACCTACTTATCACAAATTATCTGCTATTAATTTTCTTATGCAATACTCACAGGCACCAAATGTCAACAAAGCGAACAGATATATAATAAGAAATAACCAATTCATTATATACTTTGTTATGATGTTCCGAAATATTGTTCTAAGTCAGACACAACAGCTCAGCTAATACAAGTTGTGAGAGGGCACAATTATCAAAAAAAGAAATTCATTAGGCAGCTGGTACATTGATCATTCAAAGAAATCCTCTAATCACTGCAGTCAACCAAATAGAGTAGAATGTAAGAGTAACAACTGTACTTCGAAAACGTGCTGATAGATTCTCTTAAAAGCATCAATAACCTATTCATGGTCTTCATCAACAATGTTAATCAAGTGAATCCAAAGTCAACATATGTTGGATAATAATACATTTTGATATTGTACTATAATTACAAATATATATTTGATTCAGAAAATATATTATAGTAATTATTGAAGCGGAATGCGAGGCGACATTGAGAGAGATTCAATTAAATCGGTCATCAGGTTGTTCAACTCTCGACTGAATATGATAGTTTTCTATTCTTAACATTTCCACGTCAATAGAACCATATTTACATAAACCCATCTATGTTAAATACATCTAGGATACGATAATAAAATAACTGCACACGTGTAAGTGCTAATATACGTAAGAATCAGGCAGTGATGAAAACATGACAAACAAAAACCCGCTCAAGTTTACATTAAGTTCAAAATGTATAATGGTCCTTGAATATAACCCTCGTTTTCTTTTCCTGTTCTGGTATTTCAAGGTATAATTTGGTTGAAACGCAAAAGAAATTAACAATTAAGGGGAGATAACTCCTAAATTTGCTATCATTCTAACCAAAAGTTATTGAGATTTCTAGAATTACCAGATACGCAGAAACGAAAAACCTACAATTTCTCACCAAGGATGATGGTAACTTCAAAATAGAATAGTTAGGTCGGTGGGTTTTTTTTCGGCCATGTTTTGATATTTTTCTAAATTGCTGGATTCTTACAAAGACTGGTACTTAAATCCCCAAAAAGACGAAAAAGCAAATTTAACCCTTGATATTTATACAAAAATCCAAATCTAAGGGTAAAAAAGAATACAAAATCAAAATCAATAAGACATATTTTGAAATAAACAATGAACTACAAACACAAAAAACAATAGTATGTGCTCTATGTAATTTAAATAGAATGTAATTAATGCGTTCGTTGTAACCTTGTGAAAAACAAACGGCAGCTTGAATCACGAAGGCTGGTTCGAAACTGGTTATTATATATCCAACTTGTGTGAATGCTTTTGGAAAAAAACTCTGTTACAAATACAAGACAGTGATACATGTCACAAGCAACAGCTTGTTAACTCGAAATCAACATAACAATAGGCATAACATTATGTTTATTTTCAAGCTATAAATGCCAACCTTTCGTTTAAATAGAGAGATATTCATACATAGATATATTCACATATTATACTGTCAAAGAATGTAACTTCTTGCCAACATCTTAGCTATACTAGTTAACATGAGAAGAGCAATCGGTCTTATTTGCTTGCTAATCATCACTGCAATATCTGAGGACATATATAGATGTAAGTCATTATTTCCTTTAGTGTATTTAGGTAAGGCTAAAATAACGTGTCGTTTAAAAGCGGAATAGTCAAAAGTTGAAATTTATCAAACTTGGGCTCTCAACTTCAATTGATAGGTTTTACTGTCGCACTGCAAAAAAATGTAGTTTTTACGGTGGTTGAATAAACAAAAGGAGATAATTTAACAGTTAAGGCCACTTGTTTTATTTTTCAGAATTATGTTATTATCAGTCATTTGTTTTGAAGGATAAAGTAGTGAAAAACTGATGTTAATGTTACCATTACGATCTAACATATACTTAAATCAATGAAAGTGACAACAGGCATATAATTTTAGTTTGAGTGCATGTCCGTCTTAGATGAAGCTATGTAATATGTCTATGTATTGCCTGGTCTTTAAATATTCGTACGATGATGCATTTTCTGTCGAATCTAGGTCAAAGTACAAGGCTGAATTAATCCTTATCCTACAAAATGTCAGAATTTTTTATATTCTTTGGCTTATATTTATGAACATGAACAATAAAGCATGCACACCTTTAATGAAAAAAAGATACAACTCTGCTTCTTCAACCGATTTTCAGAATATTAATAACGTATGTTTTGAATAGAAATTGAATTTTAGATATTCGGTAAAAAAAGTTTTGTACACAATTTTATTTAGGGGCCTGTTGAGGACCACCTCCGGGTGCGGGATTTTCTCGCTGCGTTGAAGACCCAATGGTGGTCATCGGCTGTTGTCTGCTCTTTGGTCGGGTTATTGTCTCTTTGACATATTCCCCATTTTCATTCTCAATTTTTATTAGGTTTAAATATTTCATGAACGAAAGAATGAAAATCGTCCCAATCAATAAATCTTCTTTATTTGTTGTTAGGGAAATGTTGCACGATTTCTTTTCTATAAACATGCTTATAATTATGAATCAGTCGTCATCTTAAACAGTTAATACAGTGTGCATGTATATTAATAATTTAAAATCATATTTATTTATACAAGATTAGAAAACCGGCAAATACCTATTATTAAAGTGAAAACATTTCAAGAGAATATAACTAGCGCAAAGTGTGGTTTTAGTTTTTGATAAGGGGTGCTATTGCAGTATTTCTCAATATCAATCTTTCTTCATATTAATGTTTTGTTGACAACAATACATTAATACATTAAAGGTTTTATAAGGTCAAAAACAACAACAATTAATAGTAACATATGAAATTTACATGATCTTTTGTACATGTAAACTACATCTATTCAGATGGTTATTATATATAAAATGTATAAAAGAACTATAAAACTCATCAAATATGCTATGCTTTATGTTCGACAAGATAGTTATTCTTTTTCGTTGGTTGATATTTTATTGATAATAAATGTGCACCGTTGTTTCTCATTTAAAGCAAAATGTATAGGTACTTAAAAAAAAACCCAGAAAACTTCAATTAAATGTTTAGTTTTATTTCAGATATATTAATGGTTTCCTCATAATCATTCTTCGTAGTGAGTTATTCTATGTCATATATATATATATATATACAAATAAACTTAAAATTAAAGTTTTTTTTTTTCAGGTTATCTGTTTATTTTAGATCTATTAAGATTAGTGACAAACGCCAAGATTTCAAATGTCATATTGTTAAATCAATATTCCCGAGCAGTAACTTGTCATTTGGAATATGCTTGAACATATTATTTTGTTGATAAAGATGGGTTGCAAGTAAATGGGAAACAACACAACGAAAAAAAAACTATATGACAAACCCTTAATTTCTTATGGTGAATTTTGCGGTATTCTAAAAGCTAAAAACAACTTTCAAGCACTATGGAAATAAACGACTGAAATAAATATTCCATATAACCTACCTGACTTGCCTGAGCTTTACAGTGTCTAAGGGCATGACATGTCTACTGACAATTCAACAATGTCATAGATTCCACATGTCTCTTTCGTCCATCTGACTCTATTACCGTTTGTGTGATTCCCTGATTTTGACACTTATAGAATAAGCTTTGTAATGATCTATGATACATGCGCAGGAGTTACTTACCCTATTGACTCATCTGCTCTGATTCTAATTCGAAGTCATGCAGTATTTACTCCCATGTTTGTCTGTCTGTTTGTACCCGGACATACATTTAACTGGCATTGGTACACATCGGTCCTATCTGTACACACTTATAGTAGCTACACAAAACTTTGATAAAGTAAATGATACATACATCAAATGACAAGTACGGTGAGGAAATGTCACATTTAACGTTATTGAAATGTTTGTTGCCACCAAAAACAGAAAATAAAAATTACTTTTTTATGCTTAACAACACAATCAAATAAGTTTTTTGAATATTATGTTTGCAGTAGATGATCTAAACCTCAGTAACAGTCAATGGAATAATGCCGATGAGAAACAAGGTAACAATCATTCTTTTTTTTAAATATCTGAATACACACCATACGTTATTTCAGCAAGGAAAAAAAACAAACGAATCTTAAATCAAAGTTCTGTATTTTGACAATAAGATTTTACTTATAGAAAATTGACAAGTATATGTTGAATTTATTTACAATTTCCGAATTTGATTGCTTCAAATCTGTTTTTTTTAAATAATCTTTTATATGAGGCAGGTGTTACCTATGAAAGAGGACACTTTGCTTTTTGTGTATTTTTTGCTGTGCATGTACTGATTTTGTATCATGGATGGTTACCCCATATCCCTTGTTTTCCTGTTAAAGTCAGTCAAGAAATAACTATTTAAATACTGATTTTTGGATAATTAGAACTACATCAAAATAAATCTTATGGACAGTGGGTTCCTGATTCCCATTTCCTACCCGCAAACTCACACATCCTTCCTCTTCCTCCTACTCATATACCTTACCACCGTACTTCAAGATGAAAATCGTCTAATCCCCCCCCCCCCCCCCCCCCCCCCAAGAATATCCCTATTTTTACTTCCCCTCTTCTCCCGGTTCCTACCCCTTGATTCCTGCTTTCCCCATCATTGCCATCTTCACTTTCCCTGTCCACCCCCTCCTTCCAAACGCAACCATCTATTCATGTATTTTACAAATTATTACATTTAAAACAAATAATCACTCTTATTTTAACCAACAAGTAACTTTTGAGATACCCTACACAATTGATTTCACGACTGGAGGCTGAACAATTGACAATTATTTTACAAGTTGCAAACAAAAATCCCAAGTATAATTTCTGGTAAAAAGGCAACTAAATAGACTATTTTCATATTACCGACTTTTGACTCCGGATTATATAATTTGTCGACTGGTTACCTTGGACATCATGGTACTCGGTCAAGTAAAAGCAACCAAAATAAGTAAAATCAAACATATAATCGGTGTAATTTGAGGGGAAAGTTTATTGTTTTCCGATGATTTTGTAGTGAAAAAAAAATGTTAAGCAGGTAATTTTCCCTCAAAATTGTACCGATTGAACGCTTGGTTTTACTTCTTTAGCTTGCTCTTACCTGACTTGGTACCATGGTGTCCAAGGTAACCAGTCGACAAATTATATAATCCGGAGTCAAAAGTCGGTAATATGAAAATAGTCTATTACGGAAACGTATCCTTTGTCGGTCTTATTGTTAGGAATTTCATATATGACGTCATTTTCAATATAAACAATGAAACGCTATCTTCAGGTAGCGTTTTTTTTTCTCTCGTTTTAAAGAATAGTTTAATCAAAAACATAATAATTTATATCTAAAAACAACTAATATACAAAGTCGGATTTTTACTATTCTTTGTAAAGATACAAAAAAACGGCCTGAATGATCTGAGGTGAGTTGACCTAAAGAACTCATTTTGTTTGCTATAAAATCGTATGCTGCTTTTAATAAGCACTAGCCTCATGTTATTACGTACACAAACAGAATTAATTCAAAATGTCCGTCCTCATTATTCTTTTAGGTAATTAGTTATACAAATTTGCGGGAAATCGTATTATTTACAGCATGTTTGCTGCCGTCAACAAAACAGGAACAGGGTAATGCTCAAGAGCAACGTTTGCAAAAAAAGTCATATTGATTTTTCGTTTTATTGACTTTCCTACTGTTATTGAGGACTCCGTCCTCATAATTGGTATTCATGTTGGAAACGTGTCGCAGATCTTAAACGATTATTTACACTAATTCATAATCTTTTGTATGACATGGGGTAATAACTGAATCTTCAATGTATATATTTTTTAGGAATTTGAAAAGATGCAGGCCAGTTTCTTTTTTTCTGGAATTTTAAGATTATCCACCACGATATTACCATATGATGATGAGTAAACAGAAATGTTATTGTCAAATAAAATGGGGTTGCGAGATATTGGACCACATATATTTTAACATTTGGAATTTTAGTAATAAACTTGCTAATGGATACGGCTTTAAAATTGCGTTTCATATAAGATATGCAAAGCATGAGATACTTACTATAACGCCTAGCTTGGTCATATTCAGATGTTTTAAGTGTTAGCTGACTTAATATATTAATATATTGATTAAGAATATAAAGTATTTGTAAGTCTGCTAATGAATGTAAAGTTTATTTTATATCAGTAATCGACACCTGTTGGCATAGGAACTGAAATAATTTCATTCAATAAATTCATCTTAACCTGTCATTCCTTAATCTTGTTGTTTGATAACTCACTTAATACTTTACTAACAATGAATTTTACCTTAAAATTAGCATATATCATCGACTTAGAACAAAGGAATGTTCATTTTTGGAAAGTCAAAATAAACAACATATTATACTTAGAATAAAAATTATTAAAGTACGTCAGGTAATTTGTATATTGACATTTCTAGTAGTACACAAAGCTCAATACGAAAAATTAAGAATGTTCTTTTAGTGTAAATGGGACAAAAAATGAAAAATGTTTTCTAAAATTTAACATGTTTCTAATTGAAAACATGTTTGCTTTGTATCTATACATGATACATGATTTTACAGAAAGATTTTTAATCAGACAATCAACGTGGACATATGTTTAAGTAATTGTTGCAGAAGACCCGAAACTGAAACAGGGAAAACTTTATTTGTTAATTTTGGTTCCTTTAAAACTGTTGAATCGGATACAATCTATGGTCCTTTATTCGAAACCAAATTATAAAACTATAAATGTTGTAATAATTTGCAATGAAATCCAACACCGAGCGTTATTTGTTGGACCCTGTTGGATAATTTTTGTCCCAGATACCAAACGGGACTATCCTCGATTCCTCGTTAATGACATCATAGAAAGTTATTTGTCATGGGATTTTTTTATAGTCATAAGCATTACGACGGGTGTAATAGACAAAGTAATACTAACCAATCGTATTCCCCAATCTTCAGTTTTTTGTGTTGTTTTGTCATATTTTAGTTTTCTTTGTAGTATTTTTGGACTTATTTGACTTATCGTTATCTTTCGATTTTTGTACCGGTCGTTGTCTGTTTCTCTTCGACGTATGTGCTTTGAATCTCGGCGGTCCAAGGTTAGGGGAGGGTTTTTGCCTGCAAACTAGTTTAACCCCGCCACATTCTGTATGTACCTGTCCCAAGTCAGGAACCTGTAATTCAGTGGTTGTTGTTTGTTGCTGTATATATCATATTTGTTTTTCGTTCATTGTTTTGTAAATAAATCGTTTGAATTGTTTTACATTTGTCCTTTCATGGTCTTTTATAGCTGACTATTCAGTATGGGTTTTGCTCATTGTTGAAGGCCGTACGGTAACCTATAGTTGTTAGCTATATGTCATTTGGTCTCTGGTGGAGATTTGTCTCATTAGCAATCATACTTCATCGTCTTATTTTCATAAAAAGGTGGCCTAGCTGTTTTTGTTTTAAAGGGAGAATTATGGATTGCTTATTTTCCACTCTCACCATTTATTGAAGAAAAATCAAATTTCAATATTATTTCCTGCAAATCCATCTATTATATGAATAATGGTTCGACCATGCATTGAACCATTTTCATCGTTATAGTTAAATCTTTTGCTAGGGCTCGAGTGATCCGCTTACCCAAATGCAAGTATAGAAATCAAGTTCTGTGACATTGAACTATTCATTTGAAGAATAACTATAAACTTGATTGTGTCTTTATAATAAGCACTAAGGTACCACATTTGTTGTTCGATTGTTTTTCATTGTGTTAAACATTTGAAAAAGTTACAATGTGTTAAATTCTGAATTGAAAAATTTCACATTGATATTGTTCCTTCCACGTGCGATTCTTTATGAACGTTAAGCATTGTCATTTCAAAAATAAAGTATCAACTGGTAAATAGAAAAATTGGCTTATTTTCGTTCGATTAGTTACGGTGAGCGATTTTTTTTACTAAGAAAAGTAAATTTAGAAGAATACATTTTCATGTATAGCAGTGAAAAATTTATCATTGCAATATGTTAGGGTTATATATTCATATTATAATTTAACTTTGAATGTACGACAAACTAATCACTGTAGGTTCTTTGTGATGTTTTCAATCTTGTGGTGTGTTGTTTGTGTTTTTCGTCTTGTTTTCGTTCGACCATAGTGTTTTCCTTAGTTTCTACGTACGTGTTTTAACAACCATTTGATATTTCCTTCTCTTTGGAGAAGTTGGTTATATTAACCACAGCAATTTTGGTTGAACAATTTAAAAACATTTTAAATGATAGATACACGATATACATATAATGTTTATTCTCTAATTCTTCGTCAGTTTATCCCTTTCTGCGCCCATTGTATAAAAATTTTTTTTATCAACGTGTGATTCGTTTGATCTCAGTTTTTTATTGGTTAAAATCCGATTATGACGTCGAATTTTCTTGCTTTCCTCTGAATTTCCTATTGTGACGGCATGAAAAAAGGCGACAATGCCTGATGACGTCACAAAGAAAGAACACATCTTTTTGCAGATCGTTCGAAAAGAAAGAATAAATTTGCCTGCGTATTGTTTGAAAATCATTAGAGAAACAGATTCCACCACCAAATCTCGTGTAATACGATATTTATCCACTCTCGACAGTTAAATTTTAAATATTTAAAACGCTCGGCGAGCCTCGCGTTTTAAATTTGAAAATTTAACTGTCTCGAGTGGATAAATATCGTATCACACTCGATGCAGTGGTAGAATCTATATTTATTCAATAATTACGCGATGGCCGTTTAACGTATAGAGGTAGACAAATATTATATGCAATATTTCAGAAGAAGTCAGAAATTTTTGTGTGATTTTTGCAAATTTACTGTTCATAAAACTTTTAAATCATTCGAATAACTGAGGCTTTTTCTGTGTCCAGGCATAGTTATCCTTACAATTTGTCACAAGTTTTTGTAATGTTTGGTTTCCAATATACTTTACTTTTATTTGACCTCTCAACTATTTTGATTCGAGCGCCAAGCATAATTCTTCTGAAGACGATGCGCGCATCCGGCGTACATAATTTCTAGCCTAGTAACTTTGATGGGTTTTACAACCACTGGATCGATGCCACAGCTGGTGGATGTTTCTTAAACCACTCGAATTATCTTTCGTTCATCAGAAAAAAGTTAATATGTTTGTAAGAAGCTATCAATGGTTAGTTTATTTAGTTGAGGTCCATCTATTAATAGTTAAAGAGAGGCGAACGATACCAAGGGACATTCAAACTCATAAGTCGAAAATAAACTGACAACGCCATGGCTAAAGGTGTAATACCACCATTGTTTTCCCCCTATTAGTCTTTGTTAAATTTGCACTTTTCAAAATATTGTGCAGAATTTATCTTTGTTTCAAAAAAAAAAATACTTGGCACGAGTAAAGTTTTATCCTGTCCAGTACTACAGACAAAATTTCACATAACATTGCATTGCATATAAGATAATAACCATCACTGGAAGTTAACCAATAAAGTTTTCACCCTTTTTTCCTCTGTACAAGCTTAAGTAACCATGTAACCTCCAGTTTCCAAAATATTTTATAGAAACACCAAATAAAAAAAGAATGGTGCTTGAAACACCCAAGACATATGTTTATGACTGAGAATTTTTTTACTGCAATGAAATGAAGGATTAATTTCCTACAACTGTCAAGTTCAAGGGTTATTTTTTTCGACACTTTTTCGTATGCAACCGGATGTGACGTACTATCATTTGATGGTATTACATTTAAAAAAAAAAAAACACAATATATAAACAATAGTACACAAAACACAACTTAGAAAACTAAAGACTGAGCAACACGAACCCCACCAAACACTGGGGGTGCTCCGGAAGGGAAAGCAGATCCTGCTCCACATGTGGCACCCGACGTGTTGCTCATGTTAGTACAAACCCGGTTATAAGTCTAATTCGGTAGGTAACATTCGGGGAAAAGTGAACAGGATTGTAGTTACGACATTTGGAACATATCTGCTAGCATCTGTGAAACGGATATTCCATAACGGTCAACCAATTCGTGATGATGTCCGTAAAATTTACGAAGGGACGATTTCAACTTCACCACTTGGAACTCTTGGTTTAATAGCTTCCTTGTGAGCAGCAACCATCTATCAAGGAAATCATAATAGGAAATACAAGCCCTGTAATATCGTACCAACTGGGAGATATATACTCCGTATGCAGGCGCTGCTGGAATGTTGCTACATAGAAATGGAAAATTCGCAATTGGGACGCTGAAATTATCTCTTTTGTCGTAAAGTTTTATTTTCAACCGACGCTCATTGCCATTTCTAGATGTAAGTCAAGGTATGAGGCAGACTTAACTGTATCTGTTGTATCCTTTATCTCAAGTTCAATGAGATAGATGCGTTCAACATAGTCACCAAATTATTAAGTGAGAGAAGATCATCTATATAGCGGAAAGTAAAGTTAAAAGATACTGCTTATTTCTTTTCTTTTTTCATAAGAAGTTCCAGAATAAAGTCGGCCTCATATTAATAAAGGAACAAGTCGGAAAGAAGAGGGGCACAGTTGGTTCCCACGGGAATGCCGATTGTTTGTTGAAATACACGTCCTCCAAACGTAACAATTATGTTGTCAATCAAGAAATCAAGCATCTTGATAATGTCAGTTTCACAGAATTTTTTGTTTGAACCAGAGTGATTTTTTACATAGTAGGATTTATCCCTCCCTAAGACAAGATACTTGTATCTAAGTTGGCCATTCTTTTTAATGAAACAAAGCAGGACCAACTCTTTCAATTTGTCTTTTTGTGTGGAATAAGGGGTATACTTTTGTAAAGTGTAGAAAAGTCAAAAGTTTTAATACTATTGCAAGCTGAAAGAGTCTTAGATTGTATGTACTCTAAAAGATCTTTGAAATTTTTTAGTACACACATCTGATTCACGCCACCTCTAGAATATATTGTTTCACAATAACTTTGAAGGCCGGCTTTGATTGCTGATTACTGATA